CTGCACTGACAGAGAGAAGGCAAAACTCGCATCATGTTTATTTTTCTTTATTTGACAAAAAGCACAAAACTTTGTTTTTATTGTGAGTATACAGAAAAATAATAGACAATTAACAGGATCGATTGATGTATAACACTTATATGTACGATCAAAATCAACAGAGTATTTTAAGTCTATTTTTCTGCTATGTGAAAAAAAAACGGCAAAACGCGCGGGCGCGTTTCTGGTCCCCAGAGGGTTAATATTGTCTTACATTAGCTGTCCTTTTGAGGTATCATGTTTGGACAAAATTAAATATAAATAACTCACATCTGCAGCAGATTCAACAGAAGCCCAGTTCTGATCATCACCACCATTCACCAACAGAAGAGGACACTTTATTCTCCCAACCTTTGTGCATTTAAAAAAAAAACAGAGGACTGGCATTACAAATAATAGTAATTATAATAATTATATGCGAACAAACTGTATATACGAACAAAGAAATGTCAAAGTCGTACTCACGTCTACTTTGAGAGCCGGGTCTAAGGGAATCGGCAATATGATGTCTCTCTGTATTACCTGGTTCTCCTCATTCATACGTACCCTGTTCATATGCCTGCAATAAACATCATTTGTTACAGAAACATCCAATTCTATTTCCCAAATTGTAGGATGTCACATGACCGGGCTTCTTAAGGTCCTCTGGCAGTTGTTAAATTAGCTTGACAGGAAGACAAAATTAATTATTAATTGTGTGCAGAAGAGGTCAAATATCCACATTCAGTTTTTTTACTAAGTTATAATGTGTTTTTTTTTTGTATTTCAAATCAGGAAATCCCTTGCCAGTTCCTGACTTTTTTTTTAATTCACAATATAATTAAATATGGAGAGAAATAAAGAATATATTGCTACTATTGCATTAGATGAGGCTCAGTCTTGTGAATTAATGTTTAATCCACTCACTTGTTTATCTCCTCAAAGACTTCAAAAAGAGATTTATCAATAGGAACCACATGACTTCCACTGATACACACACAGCACTGGGGCTACAAGACAGTAAACGGATATTAAATAATGAAAAGCTGCATTTAAAATGTAGATAACTGTACATTCGTGTATGCAGGTCAAGCGAACCTTGATGACTTTTGAGTAGGCCGCCATACTGAATGTGATGGCACTTCCAAAAGATAGCCCAAGCATTGCCAGATTGTCCTTCTGTATCTTTGGATGATTTTGTAAAATCTGGTATGCTTTCTACAGGAATAATATATATACAAAGTAAGTGGGATATATTGAGTTAATCTGGAAACAAGCGCAATGCACGGGGAACAAATTAAAAGACAAAGTCTGATGACAATTGCAGATCAGCAAGGATGTCACGTCAAATTTGGTCAACATTCGGAGACAGCCAAAAATTCTGAATTACCTCAAAGTACGACACATCAACATCAACTGTTTTCAGCTCTTCTGGAGCGAGGTACTCAAGTGCCATGGATGCAAAGCCATGAGATGCAAGCAGGGCAGAACGATACTCGACCAAACCACCACCTCCTCCCCACAGGTCCAGCACTCCTGGGTACGGCCCAGGGCCTGAAAAACACACCGCGAGTTATTTACAAGCAATTTAATTTAACGTTGTGATTTAAAGAAAGTAGCGACAGATCTTTTCTTCCATATTGCCCATGTTCTATACATCGGTTGTTAATTGGATGAAGGCAGATCTGAATACAAGACTGCAATTAATCACAAGGTCGAAATTTTAATTATATTAAAGGGAGCGCGCTTTTTGTATTTAATATATTCACAATTTAGCCTATTTTTTGTGGTGCTACAAAGAGGACCAGCGGCCAGGTAAACACTGCCGAGTTTCAGAAGAGACAACCGCGATAAATGCAGAGTGAATCTACTAAATATTTACTAGCTTTAAGCTTACAGTTAAATAGGCCTAATAAAACATTCTTTGTTCTAGTATTTTACTTGTTGTTTAATGCAATGTTTCATTAATTGCATTGGCTACATGAGAAAATAATTTTGTCTACCTCATGTGGGAGATTTAATGCGGGTGCGGTTCGGGTCGCGGTTTTTATGTCAAACGGGGCGGGTCGGGTACGGACTAAAATTAGTGTTTCAGTTGGATATTGGGTCGGGTGTTCTGTTAATTACTGCGGGTGCGGGTTTATCAAAAAGGACCCGTGCAGGACTCTGCTTGGTATCATAGAAAAGGTGGATTTAAATCACTGTCTGAATTGTATTTTTAATCTATAATGAGCATTTCATCCTTTTGTGTATACCTGGAGGAAGAAATAAAGTTCCTCGTACTCCTTTCTCCCTGATGTTCACCCTCTGAACACCGGGTGCAACGTACCAGCGTTCTGTGACGCTCGTCGCCAGGGGTGTTTTCTCGCTAAATCTTTCAGATAGATGTCCACTGTATACTGAAATGTGAATCACCATCGGTGTAAGAACATTTGTCTTACGCAACCTTGAATGAAAGGGACCGGAAGGAAAGATTAATAGAATACATGAGAAAGTGATAACTTTAAATAAGACGAACATTTCACAATTTTTGATTCAGTTGGCAGAAAAAAAACCAGAGAAACCACAATAACCACACCTTGAGATTTTGCTAGTCTAAGTCAAATGTCCTCAATGCAGCCTGTATCGCGATGACATGCTGGATTAAATCCAATACGTAGTGGATGTGTGATTTTTTTCCCCAAACCAGATTAGGGTGTAGGGTAGGTTTAGGGGTTACCTGAGTCCAGATCGACTTCCTGGTACGGGTCTCATGCTCCATATCAACCCCATCTGCTCTGTGCCTTCATAGGTGCCGCCCAAACTTTTATCTTTTGCCACTGCATTTCAACAAGATACACATCATGTCATAAATGCACACTGCAACAATGTGATCGTGATTGTATATTTTTATGCCAAGCTAGCTTCATATTGTCTTTAGTTGGTCAAAGAAGGTTATTTATTATGATCCAAGGTAGTTTAGGTAGTTAGATCAGCCAGATTACCATTTGGCCAGGTTGAGGATTTCTGTTTATTATCTCCCTTACAACAATTCACTGTGGTAAACACACACACACAAACATATATATATATATATATATATATATATATATATATATATATATATATATATATATATATATATATATATATATATATATATGTTTTATAGTAAAGACTTTTAAATTGTTATAAAAAAATTATATTTATGAAAAATGTATCATGGTTTCCACAAAAATATTAAGCAGCAGCACACTCGTTTTCAATTGATAATAATAAATGTTTCTTGAGCAGAAAATCAGCATATTAGAGTGATTTCTAAAGGACCATGTGACACTGACTGAAATAATGGTTGTTGAAATAATCTGCTTTATCCATCACAGGAATAAATTACATTTTAAAATAGAAAAGAGTTATTTTAAATAGTAATATTTCATAATATTACTGTTTTACTATATTTTTGATCATATAAATGAAGCCTTGGTACCCTTAATAAGACTTCTATCAAAAACATTTAAAAAAATCTCACTGACCCCAAACTTTGGTATGGTAGTGTAAGGACTCTGTTTCCTGTGGTAACTTTTCTAGCGGTTATGCAACAGACTGTCCCACACACCTGTCACTATTCCGTGTTCATCACTGATGTAGTGTCCAAACGCCTCCCAGAAGTCCTTGTCTTCTGATTGATGTAGACAGTATATCGTCACCTCTTGATTTGGCAGTAAATTCATTATGAGAATCTGAAACTTCTCGTCCAACAGCCCTCGACAGGGCTGGACAGAGAGCAGTGGACATGTCCCTTTCTCAGTGCCCACAGTCCTAAACAGAATTAAATGAGACATTGAAAAGTGTCTGAACAATGTCATGTATTCTCTATTAAACTGCATTGTTGTGTGGAGTAGAATGGAATAATATTTATTGTCATTATACACAGGTACAATGAAACTCTATTTGACTTCTCCCTGTAATTAAATAAGAAAAACTAAGAGCAATACTCATAATCATTAAATAAATATCAAGTAAAAGCAGTACAAAAACATTGCAACACATTTGAGCAGCTGCATCTCCTTAAAGTGACTTTAGTGCCCAATGTTTAGTCATTAATCATGTGCATGTGTGTGTGTCGCAGATCTTTATTGAGTGTGTGTGCATGTCTGTGTGTACATGAGTATGTGTGTGCATATTTAAAAGAGATCTCAGTTTCTTCTCACTGCTTTCAATGTCCTGACCACTTTTATAATAGCTCTGTGGTGCTTTTCCATCGTTTTTTTAAACTTAACATATTCGGTCACCATTTATTGTCATGGAAAGGAAATGTCTCACTTGATTAAAAAAAAAGAAAGAAATTGGAATAATGTTAAAGTAAGTAAATTATATTAACTTTGATAGCTCACCACATCATGGTAATTTTATATTTCCCACAGCAATATTGCATGCCATAAGCTGTTAATAAACTGTCGGCAAAAAGTAGGTAACGTTACCACGTTAATTTATGGTTTTGCCTGAGGAAATGTCTGTACCTAACAGGTGCCAACATGATACTGTATAGTCCGATAAGATCAGATCAGGTGTTTCTTCTGTGATCAGTGTCAGATGATCCGAACAGCTTACAAAAATAATGTCTGAAATAAACATAAACAACATACAAAACATGATAAATGGCAGCGATGGTCCCGAAAACTTCACAACATGTTACTGTCAATGTTACGGTCACAAAGGAAACCCACAGACAGTTCACACCATCAAAAATTGTGGCATGCTACATGAGCTGAAGTTGTGCTCGGTGGTGTTTTAGTGAGACCCACCCGGAAGTGGTTTAATCCAAATTATATCAATCTTACCTCAAGGAAAATACGTGTTAATAATACGAATATAGATGGAATATATCTAACTTAGTTATCAGACTGTCGTCCAAATCCCTGGTTGAGTGAGAGCAGCTCGTGGGCTAACGTTAATGCTGATGACGAAATGTTACCTTTGACACAGATGTTTATGCGCTTAACGTTACATCACCAAAGGTCGTTTAGAACTCTTTTAGAGGGCATATGTTTTCTATTTAACTACTTTTTACTTAGATAAATTCTAAAATCGTAGTTTAGCATGTTGAAGGGGGGAGACACATCCCTATAACTGTAACCAGCTCCACCAACACATTGTGGCAATAAAGAAAACACGTCTATAGCCTATCATTGGAATAATCTGCACATTATTAAATGACAACATGAGACGTCCAGTTCCATACCACAAGAATGCCATTCCACTCCACGTGTATTCCTGTACCAGTCCAGTTTTTCTATGTTTCCGTCCAGCGTCCGTCGAGTCTCCAGACGCAAACAAAGCATCAACTGCAGGGATGCCAGATTGGGCTCAATTGCGCTATTTTTTTGTTTGAATAATGCTTACTGGGGAAATTTGTTGTGCAGTGCAGGTGGACAAAATACTTGGGTGGCTTTTTAAAAAAAAGTAATGTATAAAAATTAATTGCTTAAAGGAATATGTAATGTTTAATATAGCTACTAGGTAAGATCAAGTTGTTTTTATTTTATTTTATTAAAAAAAAAGAGAAAAGAAGAAGAAGCGAAAATCTGGGTTAAAGGGTAAGCTAACTTTGAGCCATTTGTTCTATGGCAAAGTTTTTGTTGTCCTCTGAGTGGCGCTATGACTTTGAGTATAAATAGAGCGCCGGTGCCTAGGCCTAGCTTGTGTGCGTTGGTAATGGGCTACGTGCATGTAACTAGGGTTGGGGAATTCCAAGATGGCGGAGTGAGGGGTCACACTTATGCAGGCTCTGAGGAAAATTAGATTGAAAACGTCCTAAAACTTACCTCTGAAAAAAAAAGGAAGGAAAAAACCCCCCATTTACGATGGTTAACACCAATCAAGCAGATACCGTGGATCATGACTACAACTTCAATGGCGGAGGCATGTGATGAAGAAGAAATCAAAGATATGATGACAGAAACTGCCAAAACAAGATGTGACCATACACCTCTGCCCAGCTAGCCTGGTAATACCAAACTCTGCTACTTCGCTTTGCTTCACAGAAGCGAAATGAAATTGAGCGGAAGTACGAAGTCTGACGTAGTCAGGCTACTGCCCAGCCCGAATCCTAAGAAAATGAGAGCAAAGGAAAAAGACAAAATTAAACAAACCGACGGGATAACAAATGAAGTGATCTTCGATGCAATTCAAACTCTAATTAAAGGAGAACTCTGGCGCAAAATGAACCTTTGGTCTAATTACACATTGTTACCTAGTCAACCGTTATCTGAGATTTGTTTTCATGATTATCGAATGTAAATAGTTTTATCTCTAAAAACAGTCTAGCCTATAAAGCTAGTATAACGCTATATATTGGGCATAGAGTAATGACAAATAAAAATCGCTTGTTAATACCACCAACAAGGCTCAAAATAGCCCCACACTAGCACGGTAGCATAATGAGGGTCCCTACCTTCAAACCGAAGCATTGAGAACTTTGTCCAGACAGTTTAATAAGAAGATATTTTATACATACAGGGTGCTTCTCAATATCCCTCCTCGTCTCCTCGATCCTCCGTCCTCCATTCTATGACCCGGAAACCGATCGAGCTCAGCCATCTTGAAGGACATCTCAATTCTCTAATTGCACTGCGAGGAGGCGAGGATTGAGGAGTGAGGAGGCTTCCAGAGGAGCTATGAGCGAGGATACACAGGTGTACCCTTTGCGGAAGAGTTTTATCGACTAAACATGACGCACGTATCAATTCTCCTCCCCCTTCACATCTGTCACAATCATTTAAATTTTTACTTTACTTTTGTAGTTTACATAAACCACACAACTCACATATTTCAACAAGGTATCTTGCTTTATTATTATTTATTATTAATTTCTTAAATAAACAAACTTTAACAACATAAGGGCAGATCCTTTGAGCACTGCTGATGACGCAGTGAAGTGACGCGCGAGTGATCAAGTATTCCAATGTATAAAAAAGCTTTCATTCAATTCCTCCGTCCTCATTTTTTTTCCTTGCAGCCTTCCCTCGCATCCTACAGGGGGTGGAGCTGAGACGCAGCTCCACCGAAGCATTGAGACAAAGTTCTCAATGCTTCGGTTTGAAGGTAGGGACCCTCATTATGCTACCGTGTTAGTGTGGGGCTATTTTGAGCCTTGTTAGTGGTATTAACAAGCGATTTTTATTTGTCATTACTCCATGCCCAATATACTAGCGTTATACTAGCTTTATAGGCTAAACTGTTTTTAGAGATAAAACTATTTACATTCGATAATCATGAAAACAAATCTCAGATAACGATTGACTAGGTAACAATGTGTAATTAGACCAAAGGTTCATTTTGCGCCGGAGTTCTCCTTTAAGAGATTCGACGAACAAGATCAATGATTGAAAAAAATTGAAAAAACAATGGAGGAAAATGCAAATATGCAGTTAAAGAAAATAAAGAAGATATCGGCGAACTGAAAAAAGAAGTAGCAGACTTGAGGAACGAGAACATCTCACTGAGGCAGCAGTGTTTAGAGCATGCTAGATACAAGAGACAATGGGATCTCAGACCGATCGGTCTTCCAGAAAAGGAAAATGAAGAAACAAGAGAAACGGTGATTGGAATTCTTACCAGGGTGATTCCGTGGTCCGTGGAGAAGCTCCGGCACTGGGTGGATAGTGCATCGGTTAGGAAGAAGAAACGACGCTGCTACCAACAAGTTACCCAGACCAGTGATCATTCAGTTTGCGATGCGAACTGTGCGTGATGAAGTGTGGAAAAAATCAAGAGAGGCAAGAGTGTGTAAAGATATGAACATTCATTTCAAAGAAGACTTTTCAAAGGAAGATCGCGAAGCTCGTGCTAAGTTGTGGCCAAAAGTCCAAGGAGCAAGGAACAAAGGGAAGAGAGCGTTCCTAAAAGAAGGCTATGCACTGATTGATGGACTTAGAGTTGACCCGTAACTGATGCTCTCAAGGTAATATGTAGTCTCACGTTAATGTATTCAAGATTGCTGCAATCACATAAGGACAGATGGAATTTATCTGAAAAAAAAAAACTGTTTAAGAGGTTAACTAAAGTAGAACTGTTTGTTCTAGCTGTTATGGTTTTGTAGAGTAATAAGGACAACATGTTCACTCCTGCGTTTAAAGTTGAGTGTGTGCTAAGGGCTGAGATAGTAATACGTTAATTTATGTCCATTTCTTTTCTATCTTTAAATGCTAGGGGGTTAAAAAACAGTGTTAAGCGGAAAGCTATTTTTTTATTATTTTGCAAGGAACAAAAAGTGAACTGTGTTTTGTGTTTTAAATGATGAAAGATTTTGGAAAGTTCAGTGGGGCGATTTAGCCTGGTTTGCACATGGATCTTCGCATTCAGCTGGAGTGATGGTATTATTGAACAGATTTTGAAGGCTCTGTTATTTTTCACGAAGGGGATACAGAAGGCCATTGGCTAATGATAGTAGAAAAAATACACGATAAATGTTACATATTACTCTGTATTTATGGTTATTATAGCAAAGGGGCTAATAGAGAAATGTTTGAGAAACTTTTAAAATCGGTTAAGTATAATGTAATGCAGAAAATGTGATAATAGGTGGTGACTTTAATATTGTCCCTGATTCATGGCTAGATTGGAGACACCAGAGAGCTTCACATTCTGTATATAATGATACTATACTGAATTTCTGTAAAACTGTAAATGTTGTTGATTACTGGAGGGTATCCAAACAGCTTTCAGTATACATGGTTTAACCCCTCAGGAAATGGTCAATGTTCAAGATTAGATTATTGGCTTATTTCTTGTGTAAAATTGTCTCTGATTACAAAATTGTAAAATTACAGCAGCCCCACTTACAGATCACTGTATGGTCACTCTGTAATCCTTAAGAAACTTAACATTTATCCTAATATTTGGAAGTTTAACCCTAAAACAGGCAACGTGTCTCACGAGATACATCGTTTTTATTGTCTTTTTTGGGGCATAAGAACGATTTTTTCATCAAATTCTTTTATCACTTATGACAGCCTGGTCTGTCTTGAGTATGCTGGTCACATGATTTGCTTCAAATTTTTTTGTGATCAATTAGTCAGCCTGACCTAAATCCAACATGCCTGCCAGTGGTGGAGAACATTCAGATTTTGAGATAAGTAAATATATATTAAACTTACTTTTCTTTCTTACTTTCAATCATGGCCTTGAAGGTACAGTGTGATTTGTAGTGTGAGTACACCTCACTCTGTAGCACAAGTGATCCTCACTTTTTTGGCACCGCAGTTCTGTGCAGTCAACAATGACCGGAGTGTCTGCATATTCCTTGAACTCAGGGGGTAGGTTGGCTGTGATTTCTTCAGGTGTCATCCAGATACACACAGCAAAGAACACAGTAAAGAAAGTTGGCCCAGGTTGTGATGATCCTGCTGGCTGTTGTCCGATGGATGTTAAATTGGTGGCCAAGCTCTCTCTGTGTGCATCCGGTTGATAGATAATTTAGAAAAAGAAATAACTCATCTATGGGCAGCAACTTAGTTGATCTGTTCGGTGTTGTCTTCTCTGCCACAGAGGCTGCTGCTTCTCTTGCCACACTTGTCA